GGCCTCTGGGTCCTCAGCGTAGGAGGCCGTGTCTTTCTTCAGCTCCTCCACCTTGGCCAGCAGCTCCTCGGTGTAGGGCTGCAGTCGGGCCCTCACGGCTTCCAGATCCGTCTCCATTTGGGTCTTCAGCTTCTCTGCCTCCTGGGAGAACTTAGACATGAAGTCCTGGGCCAGAGGAGCCACCTGAGTGTGAAGGGTGTTGGTGACCGTGTTGATGGCATCAGTGCTTGTTGCAATGAAGGTGCTGCAGAGATAAGCAGAACTTTGAATTAAAACTTCTTCATATTCAAGTTTTTTCTGTCAATATAAACTAAAACCAATTGAAACACAAAATTCAAGCTTTTTAAGCACTGTAGGACTCTTACTTCATTTCCTGTCCCAACTCGGACTCTCTGATCTTCTTCAGGGACTCCTCAGCGGTCGCGGTTACCTTTGCAACGTAGTCCCAGAAAGCATCTCTCACCATTTCAGCCTTCTGTTTGGGCTGGTGTGTGACGTCGGCATTGCAGCCAGCTACGAGAAATGAGGCAAAAGCATTTCTCATTCACTGTTGTTCGTGAATATCATGAATACTTCTTGATCAAAGATAATGGATGAGAAGTCTCTCACCAGTGAAAACGGCGAGGACGAGAACCACGAGGACCTTCATGTCTGACACCTGTAAAGAAACTCAGTAAAATTAACAGTTTGTGGTGATTTTTGTCAGAGAAGGCAACAAATCTCACTGCTGTCCTACCTGGTGCACCTTCTGTTCAGTCTATCAGCTGCTGAATGCTGTGTGTGCTGTCAGGACTCAGTATATATAGGCAGCCGGTCGTGTGGAGGAATCAGGAGTAAAGTCCAGCGCTGAGTGCTGTGCTGTCATGGCTGCTTCCACATCACAGGAGTGCTAACAGTGTCACTGCACACATCTTTCAGAGCAGCATCTGACCTCTCTCACTGCCTGACATGACTGACATGTTGGTGTTTATTTTGGAAATCTAAATGACAAATTCACACATGATCAGAACTTTAATTCAATTTTACATCGTGTTTTTTGATCTGATCAACTCTGTGAGGCTTTCTGTTTTCTGCATACAAACATCTGTGGATTGGCACTGAACGGAAACTCCTTTTTCCTTGTGCACAAAAAGGTTTTTATAAACTCTTTCATTTAACAAACTATTATCACCAAAAAACAAAACTCCAAGACTGGTTGAAATCAAAACTTTGATGCTCTAAAGACACCAAAGGAAGCACACTGGTGCTGAAAAGAGAGAGGACAACACTTCCACAAAAGGCAATGGTGCGGATCGCCTGCTGGGGCCGTCACTAGACAATAAAAGCAAGTATCACACAATTCTTTAATTAAAAAAAAAACAGACCTAACATGCAGAATTGACAACGAAAGGCAGGCAGGGAGCAAACAGCAAAGACTAATACTTACATAATCACTAATAAAACATACGAAACAAAGAGAAAAGAACTACGTTTTGATACAACATAACACAAGTCCAACAGTGTTATTGTGTAATAGGGTAGAATTAGAGAAAAGGAAAACAACAACGATAGATGAGACCACGAGGAGAAAACCCTCAAAATTAATATATAATAAATAAATAATGAAACAGTTAACTCACTGAGACAACACTGAGATGTAGAGAGGGGGAAGAAGAAAAGGGGAAACACTTCAGAGCAAGGAAGGAAGGACAGTAAAGAAAGTAAAACTAAGCATTAAAACAAATAAATCACAAGTACAAAGACTCTGACAGGCAGGTAATTTAAAATTTAAAATTCCTCTGAGGGGATGTTGGAGCCACATGTTGTGTTGGTTTTTAACATATTTCCATGAGCCAAACTAGCATCGTCACCATCGTCTTCATCTTCTTCTCCCAGTGATTTCCAGTCCTGCAACAGTTATTCTACTGCACCAAAAAATCAGGAAGTTTCCCCCACTTTAAAAAGTTATGCAAACTTGTTTCCTTAAAAAAAAAAAAAACAACAAAAACAACTAAGTACAGTTTACATACTTTGACTCAGGACAGTCATGTTAAGGGAACTCTTTCACTGTACTTAGAGTAATTAAATTAAATTAAATTAAATTCCTTTTGTACTCTTAAATGAGAATAATCAAGTTAATCTAAATGTCCAGCTAAGTACTGGCAACTTTAAGAAAAAAAAGTTTTTCATTTGTTAAATTGATTTATTTACAGTAGTGGATTAAAAGAGCAGCTAAATACTTCCCTAAATATTTTCATTTAAAACACATTATTATTTTTGTTAAAGCCTTAATGCTATCTCTATTTTAACTTAATTTTAATATTTGCTTCTTCTTTTTCTTCTTCTTTTTGCTGCTATCCATCCACAAACCTTCTCTGAGGTTTCCCTCCAGCCTGCCAGCTCCATCTACTGAGAGAAAACTAGAATTTTTACGAGTTACACATTAATAATCAAGTTGTCCACGTAAACAGTCGAGTTTCTACCATTTCTCTATTGTACATATGTAACTGGCCCATCTGGTTTTACAGATTCACTTCATCACAGAGTCTCAATAAAGGTTGAAGAAAAAGAAAAAAACTTTAAGCATTGTTTTGATTTTTAAAGTGAGAAACAGTAGAAGTAATTTGTTTTACTGCAGTGCAAACAGCATGTGTCACAAAGAAATCTCATCACTCAGAGTAAGAAATGTCAGCTGATTAGATCATCAGCTGATTAGATCATCAGCTGATTAGATCATGTGATAATCACTATTTGAAACTGTTGTGACATCCAGTTTGGCTTTTTGTTTTGTTTTTATTATTTACGCCACTGAAACTTCAGATTCACAGAACAAAAATTAATTATTCTTTTTTGCTTAAACGTTTTTAACTTTAATCATATGAACTTTTATGGCTATCAGAGGTGGTTTTTTTTAGATCAGTAAAGTGTGAGTCAGACTTGGTGCCCTCTGATCTGAAAATTATCTTCACTAAAGGACGTCCTTCGGCTGTTCCCTCTCAACAAACTGATAAGAGAAGCTAAAGTCTTCCTCTCAGGACAAACTGCTGATAAACACCACGCTGTTTTCAAATGATGTGT